GAGTAAGAAGAAGAGGGGGAGTAAGAAGAAGAAGGGGGAGTAAGAGGAAGAAGAAGAAGGGGAGTAAGAAGAAGAAGGGGAGTAAGAAGAACAGGTGGGGGAGTAAGACGACCAAGGGGGGAAGTATGAAGAACACAGGGAGGAGGGGGGTAAGACGAACACAGGGGGTGTGAGGAGAACATATAGAGGGAGGAGTGAGAAGAACACAGGGAGGGTGGAGGGGGTGATGAGAAGAGCACAGGGAGGGTGGGTGAGTGTGAGAAGAGACCGCTAGGGGAGGGTGGGGAGAGGAGAGACCACTAAGGTGCAGGGGAGAGCTCTACGGGACAGAAGGGGCAGCTCTATAGGACAGGGGCCAAGACAGGGAGCTCTTTCACACTACGCGCGCGCACACACACAATGCATCCCTATACATACACAGAAACACAACATGCTTCCCTTACACACAGAGAAACACACAATACATCCATTACACACACACACACACAATGCAACCCTTACACACAAAGACAATGCATCCTTTGCACACATACACAGAAACAGACAATGCAAACCCGTACACACACATGCAAACACACACACTTCTTTTCTTACATACACACAGAAACACAATGCATCTCTTACACTCAATACACACACATACAGACACACACCTTGCATCCCTTATGCATACAAACACAGATTCACACAATGCATCCCTTACACACAACCAGAAACACATAATACATCCCACTGCTTCCACTACACACAAAACACACTACATCACCACAAACTGGCAACCTGCCACACTGCCCATAGCACATGGCCAGATCACCAGCACGCCAACACATCCCCTACACACTCCACTCCCTGTGAGCGAACTCATGGGTGGGTGGAACTTATGAGTGAGCCTTATGGGCATACTCACCGTCAGGCCCTGGGGCCCAGACCTTGAGCTGTGTAAGGGGCCCCCAAAAAAATTGAGCTGCTTCCAATTCTCCCAGAACATTGAATTTTGTGACCACAGTTGCAAACAGCCTCCAGAGATCCTGTTCTACACCAGACCAGTGGGGCCAAACTGCAGCCCATCATCATCCTCATCTGCTTGTAAGTAGGCAATCTAGTATATTATTAGTGACACTAATCTATAATTTACCTCACATTAAAGGGACACTATAGCTCAATGAAGTGGTTCTGGTGTCTATAGCTGGTCCCTGCAGGCTTTTTAATGTAAACACACACTGTGTGCAGCACTGGCGTTAGTTCATATGGCAGGTCATATGGGTGGGGCATTGTGATGTGACATGTGGGGGCAGCAAATTTTTATTTTGTCTAGGGTGGCAAAAATCCTTGCACCGGCTCTGATCCTGGGCGGGTGCACCAGTCTACTGAGCCCACAGGGAGGGGAGTGCACTGATTGCCTGCACTCTCCTCCCGCAAGCCAGCCCCCCCATCTTTTACCGCGAGATTCTGAGTTGCCCTCTGCCCCTAATTTACGGTGGCTCACACTGCAACAAGCAGTGCCTGGAGCGTGAAGGCCGGGTGTGGCGAGCTACTGATTAGCATAACATCAATATCCGTTATAAAACCAGGAAAAGGTGGGCATGGATGGTGAACTGATTTGGTGGTGCAATGGGCCACTTGACTGGTTTTGCCCTCCAGGCCTAAGGCTGCCAGCCCTCCCCTGACTATATTCACCAAAACAACTACAGCTTAATGGTAATGGTAAGTATAGTCTGTCCCTGCAGGCTTTGTGCAGTAAACACAATTTTTTCAGAGAAAAACATTACAGCCTAGTGATACCTCCAGTGGCCACTCCTCAGATGGCTTCATGTGGCAGCAGCACTGACATTCAGTGTCTCCACCCTTTGCATGCAGACCCTGAACTTTCCTAATAGAGATGCACTGATTACCGATTTTCACTTTACAGGAGTCATGTGAGTGAGCGGTTTGCTGATGTCAACGTAGTGGATCGAGTGGCCCATGGTGGCGGTGGGGTTATGGTATGGACAGGCATATGTTATGGACAATGAACACAGGTGCAATTTTTATTGATAGTGTGTTGAATGCACAGAGATACCGTGACAAGACCCAGAGGCCCATTGTTGTGCCATTCATCCACCACCATCACCATAATGCACAGCCCTATGTTGCAAGGATCTGTACACAATTCCTGGAACCTGAAAACATTCTAGTTCTTGCATGACCAGCATACTTACCGGAAATGTCACCCATTGATCATGTTTGGGATGCTCTGGATTGGCGTATACGACAGCGTGTTCCAGGTCCTGCCAATATCCAGCAACTTCGCACATTGAAGAGGAGTAAACCAACATTCCACAGGCCACAATCAACAACCTGATCAACTCAATTCGAAGGAGATTTGTTTCACTGCGTGAGGCAAATGGTGGTCACACCAGATACTGACTGGTTTTCGGACCTTCTGGACTCCTCCAATACAGTAAAACTGCACATTTTAGAGTGTCCTTTTATTGTGGCCAGCCTAAGGCACACCTGTGCAATAATCACGCTTTCTAATCGGCATCTTGATATGCCACACCTGTGAGGTGGATGGATTATCTCGGCAAAGGAGAAGTGCTCACTAACACAGATTTAGACATATATTTGAACAATATTTGAAAGAAATATGCATTTTTTGTACATAGAAAAAGTCATAGATCTTTGAGTTCAGCTCATGAAAAATGGTGGCAAAAACAAAAGTGTTGTGTTTATAATTTTGTTCAGTGTATAAAGCAGTAAGCAACAATATAAATTATTGCTCTAATTCTGACACATTCATGTCTGTTTGAAGCATATTTTGCAATATCCAAATTCCAATTACACATTAGTGTAATGGCATACTAAAACTATTAAAAATGAAATAATGCTGTTATTCTAAAATGTATTAATTAAGAGTTATATTTCATGATATCCTTTGTGAGGAAAGTACATTGAATGTCACCCCCAAATTGCTTGATCTTAGGGAAATATGCACAAAATTAAGAAACGGTAAGCTTCCCAGGAAGTAATGGACTTTAGCCAAATCAAGTTAGGCAAGTGAAACACATGTACAAAAGTACCAAGATCACCCTGTATTTTGAGCCAAAAGCCTCTGATAAAGCCACCAATGAAATGTAACACATTATGGGAAGTATAGGGTTATTCACTGAAGCAAGAATTGTCAGGAATTCAAGTTTCTAAGTAAACAGATGGATATCTCAGTTGAAATGTTGTAGTTTTTTATATTAGCCTTATATTCCAAATTCTCTTTGAATTCACTTTGCATTCCTGACAATTCTCACTTTAGTAGATAACCCTGTTAATTTACTCAGTAGAACAGTCTACATTTTGATTTTTAAATTTGGAAATTGAAAATGTATAAGGTAAGCAGCAGGAATACAATAGGCAGGGAGCTGTGATGCAGGTTTGTGTAAACCTTTTTTTAAAGATTTTACCCACATAACTCAGGGACAGCACCTCTAAATGGTGTGCAGTGGTTATGGTGCTAGGAGTACCTCTTTAATTGCTCAAAATAACATATTTTGGATTAAGAATTTATAATACAGGAACACTTTAATTAATAAGCTTATATTGACCTTGCATTAAAATAATTAGACTAGAGCAGCGAGCCCTCTATGGGGGCATGCAGCAAGGTGCCCAGTGGTATATTCACCGTGAGGCTAACAAGGCCTTTGCCTTGGGCAACAAAAAGCCACCCCAAACACCCCAACGTATGCCTTGTTAGCCTCGTGTCCCGGGGGGCCCAAGAACTGGCCGGCTGACCACCTTTGTGCACCCCCCGAGGCAGACAGCACCTTGATTTGTGATCAGATGGCAAGGGAGCACAAGCAGCCTCTGCAGTCCCACTGGACCCCAGGTGAGGATTCCACTGTGTGTGTGTCTGTCAGTTAATGTGTGTATATGTCTGTCAGTGTGTGTGTCTGTGAGTGTGTGTGTGTTTCTGTCAGTCACTCTGTGTATGTCTGACTGTGACTGTGTGTGTGTGTGTGTGTGTCTGTCAGTTAATGTGTGTATATGCCTGTCAGTGTGTGTGTCTGTGAGTGTGTGTGTGTTTCTGTCAGTCACTCTGTGTATGTCTGACAGTGAGTGTGTGTGTGTCTGTCGGTTAATGTGTGTATATGTCTGTCAGTCACTCTGTGTGTGTGTCAGTCACTGTGTGTCTGTCAGCGAGTGTGTGTGTCTGTCAGTGTGTGTGAGTGTGTCTGTGAGTGTCAGTGTATATATGTGAGTGTCTGTGTATCTGTGAGTGTCAGTGTGTATAATTGCTGTGTTTAATTGCCACGTTGGCATTTTGAGAAAAAAAAGTTGGTTTGTATGGCGGTTTATCACTTGACTAGATTGTTCTTGAAACAGTGTAAACAGTGTTCTTGCTTTTTATTGCCTAGTCATTATGTGGAAAATAAATACATGGTACAGTCTATAATAAAAAAAAAAAAAAAGAATCTTTGGTTTCTGTGCATCACTTTCAGACAACTGTCTTATTTAATAGCTTTAGTTCTGTATAAGACAATTACCTCACTCTACAGGCTGAAAAAGGAAGATAGGATAGCAAACTTTTTAATGTATTTATTTGCATCTTGTTCTTTATGCTTTCCACTTTCGCTCCAGAGGGACACTGATCAAGCTAATCAGTGTCCTATCCCTAGGAATGTTGTAAAAGTGCATTGGCCATGCCTGACAGATTTACACATGTGCAGCTGGAGAATCTCTCCACCTTGCATCCTGACAGGGGATGAAGAGGGCAGGCTCTGGTGTCAGGTTTCTCTCCCTGCTGTGGTTACCTCTGTAGAAAGAATGTTGTACACAATGATGCCCTGTTTCTGCATTAGTTGACTAATCTGAAACTGAGATGGGTGGTTGAAAGAGCTGAAGAAACTCCCCTACCTGAGAAGTGTGCCCAACAATGCAATCTGACCAAATTGATAGTAAACTTCTAAATGTTTATTACATACTTTTCAAAGTTTGTCTTGCTTTATTATGGTTTGTATTGAGAAATGTTTGCTTGCTGGTTTTAAAATAAATTGTCAAGTGATGCATGCCTCTTTAAATCCAGACTTAAACTTAGTGACTGCATTCAAATGGCAACAGTACAGAAAAATACACACCTGCATTCACACTCATATGCCATACAAAACATGCAAATGCGCAGGCACTGCTCACAAATATAGCCCTGCAAGAATAGGAGAAGAGTAAATTCCCAGCTTGTACAGCATAGTGGAAGTTTCACGACGTTTGAGGATCTACCTTTTGGCCACACTTGCAGTTTTTTGCACCAGGGCTCTCTCTTCATTAGTTACATAATTACCATCACCAGATATATTAGTGATGGGTGGGTTGCATTTGGCTGTGAGAGTGAACTGGAGAGGGCATGAGAGTTGTCTATAAGAGGGTTCTTCTTTTTCTCTCCTGTAAATCAGCCTCAGCATATAGGTCTATGCTGAGAATTGAAGGACATTACTTTAAAAAAAAATATCTAGAAAGCTATACATTTCCTAGCAATTCTGCTTGTATATATATATATATACAATATCCAATTAAATGTTATATTCATTAAAAAGAGCATAAGTTGCATGTACCATG